GGCGGCCGCCTTCCCTCGGGACACGGAGCCGGGCAGGCTGGGCTGGGAGAGCTGGTTGTGTTGGTGACACAGCCTTGTCTGCAGAGCCCCGGGACAGGCTGCCCAGAGAGGCTGTGGGGGCTGCATCCCTGGAGACATTCCAACCCCCCTGGGCACCTTCAGTGTGATGTGCTCTGCCTGGCAGGGGGGTTGGGCTGGGTGGTCTTTCCAGGTCCCTTCCAGCCCCTCAGATCCGTGATTCGTTTATGGGAGACTCCTGGGTTGAGCCAGGGTGAGGACTAGTTAAAACCCCACTGAAAGTTAAAGCTTACTGCTGGGAATTAAAAAAAATCAGTAAAAGGAAAATTGGCTTCATCCTGGCTCAAATCGGGACAAAGACGGAGATAAAAACCCCAATGAAATGTTTGCGTGTTTTTTAATCTCAACTTTAATGTTCCTACCTTGCTTAGTAGTAGTATTGAAAGCAATAACTATTGACAGTCTAGTAGTAGATAGTAATAACTATCAATAATCGATAGCACTAATGTTGTGGTTTCATTTGCATGCTTATTAATTTTATACTGTTTTAGTTGATACCGACTCTGGTCAAGCTCGGGCTTTGATCTCGCATTCCTTGCTGTTCTCTCTCCTGCGCAGTGGAATGAAGTCACCAGGTACTTCCGAGCTGGCATGCCCCTCCGGAAGCACAGGCAGCACCTCCGGAGGCACGGGAGCTGCTTCACCGCGGCAGAAGCTGCAGACTGGCTGCACCAGGTCCTGAGGGATAACAGTAACTTCGGCCCTGAAGTCACAAGGCAGCAAACTGTTCAACTATTAAGAAAGTTTCTCAAGAACCACATCATTGAAGATATCAAAGGGAGATGGGGGTCTGAAAATTTAGAAGACAATGGTGTGCTGTACAGGTACTGAAGTGGAGAACAGTTAACTGGGCTTTTCAGTCTGAGAACTGTATTGGAGTTGCAGTGCAGCCCCCAGGTCCTGGATGCACTGCCCTGCTTCTGTCTAGCCAGGTTTTTCACTGGCATGTGGCACCACTCAAGGGCCTGGAAGGGGAGCCAAGGACAATTAATTGTAGTAGCTCCATGCTGTGCTACCAGTCCTGTGTTTACTGCTCTTGCCTGAGTGGGAAGCAGTCCTTCCTAAGTTCTTAAATTAAAGGTAATAATGGCCCTTGCTTCTCCAGTTCTGCTTGCAGTGCTGTGTAAATATCTGATTTGGTATCAACTTGCCTTGGAATCAAGGAAAGCAGCCCAGAGCTGATTTACAGGAAGATAATGTTAAACAGTGTTCTAAAGAGAAAATTTCAGCTTTTTCTTCCTCTCCCAAATCTTTTCAGAATCTTATGGAGTCGTGGTGGTTGGATGTGGTTTTGGTTAAGTGACTTCTTATATTTTAATCTATATTAAATGTACTTAAAATCTCTCCTAATTATTACAGATTTCCTTCGACATCTCCAGTTAAACCTCTACCAAGCTTATGTCCACCAAAAGAGAACTTGGAAAACTCTAGAGACAAAGAGAGACCTTTTAAGCTGCCACATTTATCCAAGAGAACTTTGAAAAAAAATGAGTTGCTGAAGTCTCTGGTAATAACTTACATTTCTTATGTAGTTGTGGTTTCCACATTCTTAAAAAAAAACACCACAACACACCTAGTGACAGTGGTCTGTTGTCATCTTCCCTTCTGGCTGAAAAAATGAATTGGTTCTTTTAAATAGTGGAACAGAACATTTAAATAGGTATAATAGAAAGATTAAGCTGTATTTTATACTTGAGTGTCTTGGTGATATCTGCTGTTTCTCACACATACAAAAAGCAATTTTATTACATAGTCCCTAAATGTTCAAACAAACTTGTGACATGGCATGTTTAAATGCTGACAGCAAATGAAAGGTTATGCATTTGGCAGAAGAAATTGATGCTTTCACATGAAGAGTCTGTTTCCTACACTTTGTGGGGGCAGTAGGTCTGTTGGGAAGGAAAATGATGGGTGAAGTGTTACTAATGCATCCATATTACCTGAGCAGAAAGAAAGGTCATTTGACCCCCCCCATCCACTGCAGTATAGGGCTAATTTTGTGTAACTATAACCTGGGATTATAGAAACTTTTAATTGTGTGTATATATATATATGTGTATGTAAGCAACTGAGCATCTGGTGTCATGGCTATGGGAGAATGTTTTCTTTTGCCTTGCCTTGTCTCTCAGTGCAGGATTATCCCCCTTAGAGTATTTGAAAACATTGGGAGGGCTGGAGGAAGGAGTTGTAGAAATCACCTAGGCAAGAAACTAAGTTTCTTGTTGAAACTTAGTATCTTTTTTCAATGAGAAGTAAAAGGCACAAATTATTTCATTGTTCTGTTTACATTTTTTTAAAGATTGACTGTGAGTGTTTGGCCCTTTATTCTTTTGAGACTGGTGGGTGGGTGTGTGCATACTTCCTGATTTTACAGTGTGATCCTTAACAAGAATACTCTGCCTACTAACACATCTGAATTTTATGTTTCTATCTTTTTAATTCCTGCCTTTTAAGCTAATTTGGTCTTTCTTCGTTGTGTCCTTTTTTGCCTTTGAGTTTGTCTTAAATTTCTGTTAAGGTTATTCCCTGGATCATGTTTTGGAATTTAATGTTCTGTAGAATGTCCTGTACTTTTGAGAACAATTGTTACTTAATTTTGCATTATCTTAAGAGGCTTCTTTATCTTATGGTACAAACCTCTCATTTTCAGGAAAATTTAGAGAGAACAAACTCAGATATAATAGAGGAAAACAAGGAAGACAAACCACGTAGGAAGGAAATAAGCCAGGAATATGTGCAAGAAACTTGGAGAAATATCATTCTAATACAGTAAGTAATACATGGTAAAAAAATACCTTATGAACATGCTTTGAGGGTGTAATGACCTGACTAAGATTTTTACTTGCAGGATTTCTTCAAATTTTAAAAAAGGTTTTAAGTGGAGTATTTTTAATTAACTCTTGTTTACATATGCTTTCTAACATCTATGAACATTGGATTATTGCATTTCAGAAATGCCTTGACATATATTGCTGCTGGTGTCGAACCATATTTTAAGTACTAGAGATGCTCTTTTCTACTGGATTTTGGTCTTTGTCCCAGGAAAAAGTGTGTCCTCCAACTGTCCTTCTGGAAGTGAGAATTTATTAAACAGCAAAGCAGTTTGCCAAGTAACTAATACTGGAATAGATTTGGAAAGAGCTTGTGTTCACTCATTACTAGCAAACCTTTTAAACAACATCTGCTCTTTTCCTCTTCACAGTTTGCAGACCATTTTAGGCCTCCCATCTTTGGAAGAAGTTTTGCAGCCAACACAGATAGTTCCTGAGTATGTCATATACAACATGACTAATGTCAGCAAACATGGGGTGGTTATTTTGCAGAACAAATCAGGTAAAACTGGGGTTTTTTTTTGTTTTGCTTCAAGATTCTGTATGGTGAGATTGCAACAAACAATAAATAACAAAGTAATACTGTAGCAATGTTTTAAATTAGTTTTAAATGTTATCTTTTAGATTTATATATTACATGTGTGACATTATGACATTAGACATTAATGACATGTGACATTAGAGCTACAAAGATGATTAAGGGAGTGGAACATCTCCCTTATGAGGAAAGGCTGAGGGAGCTGGGTCTCTTTAGCTTGGAGAAAAGGAGGCTGAGGGGTGACCTCATCAATGTTTACAAATATGTAAGGGGTGAGTGTCAGGGGGACGGAGTTAGGCTTTTCTCAGTGATGACCAGTGATAGGACAAGGGGGAATGGGTGTAAATTGGAGCATAGGAAGTTCAAGGTGAATATCCGAAAAAATTTTTTTACTGTAAGAGTGACAGAGCACTGGAACAGACTGCCCAGGGAGGGTGTGGAGTCTCTCTCACTGGAGACATTCAAAACCCACCTGGATGAGTTCCTGTGTGATGTACTCTAGGTGACCCTGCTCTGGCAGGGGGGTTGGACTAGATGATCTCTCGAGGTCCCTTCCAGCCCCTAAGATTCTATGATTCTATGATTATTTGTATTAGTTATTGAGTGTCTGGGGCTATGTATAAATAATGTACCTGTTTGTTTATTTTAGAAGACCTCCCTCATTGGGTGTTGTCAGCCATGAAATGCCTGGCTTACTGTAAGTCACTGAATTGCTTCCAAGTTCCAGAAAACTCTTTAGTTGAAAGTGAAATACACTTGCCTGTTAAAATCGGTTGTGATGTTTTGGAAATTCAAACAATCCAAACAGAAATGTAACCTAAGAGTTACCCCGTGTTAAAAATGTTACATCTCAGGTAATCAAGAGCACAGCTCCTCAGTGGCTGTGGAGAATATTTTATACTGGTTTTTCTTGCCAGTGGGTACAGTGCTGAACTAAATAAAACATTTATGTATTGTTTACATGATTCTTTACTTGTGAAAGTCATTCCTACAAGAACAAACTTATGTTGACTTTTTTTTTAATAATGGAAGTTAGAGACTAAATACTTCTGTGAATATTCTTTCTTAACCTCTTTTTTAGGGCCTCGAAATAATGACATGAGCCAACCAACTTACAGTGGGTTTGAACGGGATGTGTTCAGAACAGTTGCTGATTACTTTCTCAATCTCCCTGAACCATTGCTTACTTTTGAGTACTATGAACTTTTTGTTAATATTTTAGGTATGTATGAATTTAGGAATGATCAGTGCAAGCTGTAAGCTTACATCAACTGGGGCAAAAATGTGTTGAAAGCAGAGCTTGATCCCCTAATCTGTATGGCAGCTTGGATCTGAGGAAGACCATCAGTGCTACCCTTCTTTATCACAGTAATGAAATGCAGTTCTGTCTCAAAATATCCTATATTAAGTGCTGTCTGAGCTAACATTCTAAGTATGCAATAACAATAATTTTAAAATATGTGCTCCTGTCTCTTCCTAACTATTGTAGTGTGTTAGCTTGCTTTATTTTTGCATGTTGGTAAGCAGTTATCTTCATAGGTTGCTTTTGGACTGAACTAAATTTTTCCTAGGTTTTACTAACAGTCAACTATAATTTAGTGTCTTATATGTGTTGTCTCTTCTGTTCAGTTAGCAACATTCTTTCTGAACTTGTCCATTTTTGTACCACTTGCATCTTAACTTATATTTCATCTTCTGATAGTTATGTGTGGCTACATCACACTTCCAGATACATGCAGTGGAAAACATTCTGCCCAAGATGAGAAATGTGACCCACAGTCTTCAAAAATTCTTCACTTGAACTCTTTCAAGTCAACTGAGTGTCTTCTCCTAAGTCTGCTTCATAAAGAGCCTGACAGAAAAAAGAGGGAATTGGAAGCCTCCAGGAAGCTGGCTTCAGAAGAGCTAGCTATTAAAAAACAATGTGCAAAGAAGCTGCAGCAATATAAACTGACTCGTAAACAAGGTGGTGCTGATAATCTGATAGGAGGAAGTTGTCAAAATCTTTCCAGTTTTCAGGATAAACAAGATCCACCCCAACCATTTAGGACAAGATGTTACTCTTTGGAAAGAGTTGGAGATCCTACTTCAAATGTCTGTAATGAAGGAGAATCTGCTTCCCTCAGGCAAAGTGATGTGGATACTATCCCAGGCACAACAAATGGAAAACCATCACTAGTGCATGAGCATGAAGCTAATTCTGTATTGGAGCTTGGTTTTGCTGGCACAAGTCAAAACCAAACATGTGGTATCAAGAGGGTTTCTGCCTCTTCTCTTCAGGATAAAGAGTTGGTTAATGAAAAGCACAGATTGAAGCAAGTAAGCAGGTCTCTGAGTTTACTTGGCAAGAGAAACTCCAAAAGTTGCACTAACATTAACATCCCAGTTGCTGAAATCACAGTGAAGCCAAGGTCCCAACTTTGTGGGCAAGGAAAACCACATACCTCTGGTGTGGCTTCTTCCATGGACATCAGGACTGAGGTTTCCAATGTCACCATAAATCAGAGGCTCTGCAAAAGTACCACAGAACTCTCAGAATCCTCTCTCACTCACTCTTGTCTGTTGACTGGCACGCAAAGTAAGATGGCTTTTCAGGGCATGTTGTTTTGTCTAACTAATCTCTGCTTCCTTCATCCTTGGCACTGCTGCTTGGGTTTTTTTGATATGCATATAACACAATCTGTGGGTTTTAAAAAAATAATGCTGGTTTCTACATTTCACTGTCTAAAGGCAGCATTTCATACCTCTGCTAACAAGTAGTGTGTAGTATCCTGGGAGTCTTAAACCTAACGTGTCAGCAATTAGTAACTCACTTTTTAGGTAAGTGAGAAGTAGTTCTGACCTAGATGCTGTCTAGGAGTGTGGCAGAGAGTCTGGGCAGACCTGCCTGTCAGAGGAGATGTCTTTCTGGGAATAATGTCAGTGTAATTTCTTAATTGTCTTCCCTGTACCAGCAGTTTATCATAATGAAGCAAATTGAAGATGACCCCACAACAAAAAGCCACACGATGTTACCTGCCATCTTACTGCTCGTCTCTGAGACAGATTATGTTGAAAAAAAATTGAATTTCTTGTACTGAGATTAAAAAAAACCCTGAAAGCTGCTTCGAATCTTCATGACAGCCATCTTTGCAATTACCTTGTAGATCTCCTTCAGCCTCACTTAGAAAGAATTGCTGTGGAAGCCCTGCAGATCTGTTGCCTGCTGCTGCCACCGCCCAATCGCAGGAAGATCCAGCTCCTGATGCGCATGATCTCCCGGATCAGTGAAAACGTGGACATGCCCCGACTGCACCAGGAGATGGGAACACGCTCTTTGGTAAGAGGATCCCAAGGGCAGCCCAGGGATGGTTTTCAGGACAGGACTGGAGTAATGCTCAGCACACGAGCAGTACTGGGTACTTGTCTGTTTGCAGTTCAGTAGTGACTAATGGGCAGACTTCTCATCTCCATAATATTTACAAAAAATCTGGCATGAAACAAGGACTTTGCTCCTTCATTCTAATGTATTTCAAGTGTTGCTGTTGCTTTTGTTTGCTTTGGGAGAAGGGAAATAATTTCTTAAGTTATTGTTTAGTCTGGTTTCTTGCCCAACTGTCATTTCACTTTAAAGGTGTTGGCAAAGTGTCTGTTGAAAACCTTTGTTGGACTAAATATTTGTGTATGTGAAGTTATGACAAAAACAGTTTGAAAAAAGTAAGTTTTCTGCCTAGTGAGTTTAAAGTCTAGCTTCAAGTTCTGAGTTGAAGCTTTCATTAGAATGACTACAGATTTTTGTCAAACAAGATGAGGTAAAACAACCAAGTACCTGCACATGCTCATTTAAAATAAGCCTACCAATGCTGGGAATGAGAGAACTGTAAAAATGTTTTTAAAGATATTTAAAACTGGATCTTTGTGTGCATTAGAACTTGGGGCTGGTATTGCAGAATTTTGTATCATCTCACTTGTCTCAAGATGGCCAAGTGAAGATGTACACCTTCCTACAGGGGAAAACTTTTTATTATGTCTGAAATATGTATTCCTTGAAAGTACTGTTCAGTTCCAAAGAAGTACAAGTCTAGCCTTATCAGAAGTTACTTTCTTTCCAATGAGGATAAAGTTATAATCAGTTTTTCTCCTCTTGACCAGTGGTGCAGGCAGGAGAGATTGCAATGAAAGCTGGTTTTGGAGAGCTCACTGTAGCTGGGAAAGAAGGCAAATCTCTCAACTGCATGTTCTAATGATCTGCTAAACTCTTCCAGATGATCCAGACCTTTTCCCGCTGTGTGATGTGCTGTGCAGAAGAAGTAGATCTTGATGAGCTGCTTTCTACACGACTGATTTCGTTTCTCATGGACCATCAACAAGAAATATTTAAAGTCCCAACCTACCTGCAGGTTGCAGTGCAAGATCACATAGAGTACATGAAGGTGGCTGAGGTTGGTGGCACCAGAGAAGTTTCAGTTCCTTTGCTAATTGCAGAGTATTTGTTACTTCTGAAGGTAGCAAATAAACTCATGACATTTTAAATGAAAAATTGTATTAAACTTCTAGTGGAATTGTAGATATTAGCTACATTATAATGTACTGCAACTCGTGATGTCCCTGTGAGTTAGTGTGCTTGGGTGTTTGTTAGGTAACTTCTTGCTGAAATAGTACATAACCATCTGAGTACATGCAGAGCCTTTCAACTTCTTTGTTTCAGTGCAAATATCCAAAGGAAGACATGTGTGCCATATTGCCAACCTATTCCTACTGCAAGCAAATAACTCCTCAGGAGTTTGAAGAGCAAAAGGTTTCTACCTCTCAAGCTGCTGTGGCAGAGCTCTTGGAGAACATTATCAAAGATAAAAACTTGTCTGTGAAAGACAAGAAGAAGAAGTTAAAACAGGTAAGGAATTTGGTAGATATTTAGTCTCCTCCTGAAAACTGCTCTGCATTACCCAATGTGAAACAATTCCAGCAGGGTTTCCTGTGCTGCACTGGCTGCACAATTTACCCTCAAAATGCTGTGGATGGGCTTGAAGTCAATTGTAGGGATAAAAGCAGTAATTTTCTGGCTTCAAGGGTTCAAGCTCTACCTGTTCACAACTCTGGAATGTTCTTTGCTGTGGATTTAGCTTTGTGTTTTGTAACATGTATATTGCTCAAGGTGATCTGGCACCTCTATGGCCTACTAACGTATTGCCTAATCCTAAAGCTAAAATAGAGCAATTCTGGCAGGATTTAATACTGGAGAGTGTTGTTTTTCTTTTCCAGAAAACCTCTGGCAAGTATTTCTGACCAATTGAATGGTATTGTACTTGTCCTGGAATCTCCTAAGCGAGTCTTGTGACTCAAATTTGAAAAAGCAGCTTTTCAGAGCAAGCACATTTCTTTTTCCTTGGTGCTCCTCCCCCAGCCTCTGCAACACTGACTTTCATATGTGTTGTGAAAACCTTCTGGTCCTGTAAAAGGGAAGGCTGCACTTTTATTCAAGTTCATTGAAAATTCCTGCATGTAAAGAATAGTTAATTGCAGTCAATTAAAACTTAAAGTAAGCAGTAAGAAGTGGTACACAGCAGCACTTCAAGCAGGTGAAGTGGGGAGGAAGGGAGTGAACTAAAATCCTCTCATAGTAAAACTTAAAGTACATAAATTTTTGAGTTCCCACCGAAGTCCAGTAGCAGCTGGTGCTGCAAGGGCCACATGTTAGTAACATCTGAAATTCCCAGAGCTGTATCCTTAGTCTTGCCAGTTGTGCTGTGATAGTCAGTGCTATGATACATCACAGATTTTTGGAGCAATTTTTCAGTTTGGATACTTCAGATTGGAGAAAGCCCCTGGCACTAATTCCAAGGTTACACATGGAGGAGTGTTCTCTAGGTTGCATCAGTCCCCAGGATGTTTGCCAGTCTTCATTCCTTCCTGAGGCCTTCCATGGCAAACAGGCCAAGTGTCAAAACCCTCTCTGAACCAGATATTTCTGCTTAGTTGTATGTCTGCAGGAACTGAAAAGTTACTCCCTTGATTAGGTAATAAGCTTTCCTGAGAGAGAACCTTCATGGTCTGCTGGATCCTAAATTCCATTAGGTGAAACACCTTTGGTGGTGTTCTTGGAAGCCACAACCAAGAGAGATGTCCCTGCTGGCTGGGCTGTGTGGCCTCCCAGGAATACCAGGAGAGAAGCTTTTCTGATTTGATGAGGTGCCTGACAATGTCTGTTTGACCTGATGTTTATCAGCTGGAAACTCCAAGCACAAAGAGCTGCAGCTTCAGGCAGTGTCACAGCAGCTGCTGCACCTGCTGGCACCCAACCCTACAGGGGGTTCATGCTTCAGTCCTGTAGAGCCAGAGGTTTTGGTGGAGTCTGGTATTTTGTTTTACCTTTAGCTTTTGTGTGTTCTAGTTTCAGAAGGAGTACCCTCTGATCTACCAGAACAGATTTCCAACCACAGAAAATGAAGCAATGCTATTGGAGAACAAACCTACCATCAAACAACCCATGCTGAGCTTAAGAAAGCCAAGACTTCGCAGCCTGAGATACTGATCTCACCACCCTTCAGCTGCTTATTTATTTGATGGATGGATGGATGATTTGCCAAAGGGACCTTTGCTACAGAAATTTGTTGGTGGCTGCATGTGTAGAAGGAAGAAATGTTTACATGGACACTATGTTGAAAGGTGCCAAAATAAATTTTGTTTGGTGCAGGTAACTTTTGAGGAACTGCTAAGAGAGAAATATTTACCTGTTTACAAATTATTACAATATATTGTGCTCAGTAAAGCAAATGTGAAAATAAGCCTGAAATTACTAGTAACCAAAAATTTATATATGGTTTTTATATGGGAAACTAATGGTATGCACATTGTTGTAACTTGTTTTGAAATGCCTGATCAGCAATTTGTGATGTTTATTATAGTTTGTGTAGATTTTTAAGTGTTTGTATGTTGCAACTAAGTGCCTTCTTTCTGTTTTCAGAACAAAACATTCTTTGTGTTTGTAACTAATTTAAAAGTTGGCTCTGTTTCCAAGGGAGCCAGAAATTTACCATAAATAGATTATCTGACTCCATAAAATACATCTGCTCATCTCATCTGTAAAATTCACTTAAGCTTTTGTGTATTTATAATAAAAGTCTGTTTCTGCTTGTGATGTGGAAACAGGACCAGTGTGAACTGGAATAATTTAAAGTTGTTCAGTAAGGTTTTGTAGAACACATCCTGTGAGTAGGAGCACTAAGTGGATCTGCCTCTTGCTCTGAGCATGACTCTTCTCACCTTGTCACCTCAGTCTGAGGAGAGCAGAAGGTGACTGGGGGTTAGGGGGGGCTGGTGAGGGGGTTGCTGCATCTCTGGGCAGTTAGAAGGTGATCAGTTGGTGAGCAATGCAGCTGAACTGCCTGAATTAAGGCAGCTGAAGGTCTTTGGAGGAAATGAAGCCACCATGTTAAAATACCATTTCTCTTGTTAATATCCAATATTTTTCTTGTATTTCAATATTGTGCCAAAGCTATTCCTTTATGAGTAAGGGCAAGGGGGAAGGGTTTAAACCAGGAAGGTGGGAGATTTAAGTGAAACATGAGGAAGAAATTCTTTGCTGTGAGGGTGGTGAGAGCCTTGCCCAGGTTGCCCAGGGAAGCTGTGGCTGCCCCATCCCTGGCAGTGTTGAAGGGCAGGTTGGATGGGGCTTGGAGCAACCTGGGCTGGTGGGAGGTGTCCCTGCCCATGCAGGGGGTTGGGACTGGATGAGCTTTAAGGTCCTTTCTACCCCAAAACATCCCATGATTTTGTATCTCCTTTGTGTGTTAGTTGCACTGAGATTTATTAGCTGTATCTCTGCAACTCAGGGTCACAAATGTCACCTGTTCGCATGTTGCTGTGCTTGAGCTTCTCCAGTTTTTCAGGTGACTTGGTTGTCAGGCCATTGAAACAGTCCTGCATTTGGAACAGTGTTGAAATTGGGCTTAGTTGTGAGGAATTTGTCAGTGTGATGTTTCAGTTGTAATGTTGCTTCTGGGGAAGTTAAAACTAGGTGCTGAGTGCCTGTGCTTGCAGAGAATGGAGGGGTTGCACTTCAAGCCTTGGACTGCAGGAGAAGGTACATTTGAAGTCCAACTTTGTTTTCACTTTAAGGGGTACTTTTTGTTAAGCAGTTTTGTGCTTGATGGAATCAGCTGTTTTAGAGAGATGTTTTTCCCTTGGATGAGCTCTCTGGGTGGCAGGTACCTGGTTTGGTTCTCTTACAGAGTTCTGAGCTCTGTCCATCTATATGTGCAGCCATATCCATTGTACATTGCCAGGTTTTGCCCATTCCTAGGGCAAGAAACTGAATTGTCATTGTAGCTGCACAGGCTACAGTATTGTCATAAAACCAGACATCAACACTGAAGTTAAAGCAAATCTCAACTACTCTTTACCTGGTTTGGAAGGTTTTTTGGCATCTCCTAGGGTGGTTTCCCAACAGCTTTGTACAAGTTTCCAGGCTGTGTCAGACCCTGTGGTGTCAGGGATGAGGGTCTCAGCTGAGGGTGGTCACTCTGGCATCTCAGTACACAGCTGCTGTGACCCTGAAACTGCACTTCAGTTCTCTCAGCTTGTTCTCCCCTCCCTGGGACCTGTTTTGTGACATATCATTTTGCTCTTTTCCTTCTGAGGAGGGAGGCTTTGTAATGAAGAAGCCAAGATTAGCCCGGTTTCAGCCACTATCAGTAATTGCTTTAATGTCCTGTATAACTTGAGGATTTCTCATGGGAGGTAACAGACCCTGATCCTCTGTAACACCTGTAGTGACCTTCCTTGAAAAATCCACTACCTGCCCAAACTAGCTTCTCATTTTTCTCAACCTGTAATGTGTTGCATAAATGCTTTATTTATGTGTTCTAGTTAAGCAACTTATTAGGCCAGAAGCTCACATTTCTTAGGATTTAGCTTTCAAAGGGCTGCCCTCATTACTCAGAGGGCATGATCCATTCAGAGGGCCCTTGATCCATGTTATTTAATGTTCCCTTCCAGGCTTTTGACAGAACTTAACAAAAATGTGAACAAATAGACAAAATGACTAGCTGTGGGACAATTAAAACACTGCAAAGGGATGACATACAGATTTAATCTAAACCTTTCTTTGAGCTATCATTTTCTTTTCAGGTTTTTTTTTTGTTTTGGTTGTTTGTTTTTGGTTGGTGTGTGTTTGTTTTTTACTGGAAGCTTTTTCTAATTTTTTTCATTTTGTAAGCATTTCAGTTCTGGGGGAAGATGGTTTTTCAATTCCCTGGTCCCTGAAAACTAGCACTGCAAGTGCACACATGCAGGAAGACAGTTTGACTTATTACACAAAAATCAAACTCATATAAATTGTTTAGACTTTTTTTAAAACCCACTTAAAATGGACTATAATTATTTAAAAGTGTATTCAGCAGAGATGTCATTTCCAGGGCTGATGAGCTCTCCTGGATGCTGACCTGGGCAAATGAGCTGTTCACTCAGTTTATGGCCCCTTCAGGTGCAGTCCCAGCTGAATACTTGGGTGTTGCACTTGCAGGGTTGCAGACACAGACCCAAAACTCTCTTATATTTTGCTGAAGGGTTTTAGAGATATTATTTGGGGGTCACTCTGCAATGCCACCTGGTCTGCTGGAATTGAAGGGAAAGAAATGCCTTGCCTTCCTTATCTGCATAGAAAGGCAGGATGAGAAGCTGCTGCTTGTGCTTAGCAGCACTTTTTTCTCTAGTTAGTGCCTTTTTAGTTGTATTAGTTGTGAGGGAGACCAGACTCATGATGTGTTCATAGCTTCTGCTGCTCTTAGTGTCAAAACAGATGTTGCCTGGTCTAGCACTGGCTGGTGTTTAGTGGCACCTGGTGATTCCGAGAAAGCAGCTGGGAGAAACCAAGCAGGAGGTTATGTGGATAAAATGTTCATGGCTGAGCTCAGCCTTGAATCATGATGCAACTGGCTGCTCCCAATTGAACTGCAGGCAGCTGGAAGTGGCAAAATCAGTATTTTAAGGGGAGGGGTTGAAAATGGAAAATTATACTATTGTCATTTTGGTGAGAAGGGACCTTCAAAAGCCATTTAGTCCCAACTGTGTTTATAAATGGATCTAATTAAACCAATTTACTCAGAGCAGCATTAAGTCCTGAACACCTCCAAGCTCTGCAGCACAAGGCAGAACACCCAAGAATTTTCTCTTCCCATCCCAGTACAAGGCAGCAAGAGCAAAGCTCTCTATGGGGAGCTTACCTGGCCTGTCCCTGCTGGCCCCTGTTTTGATCCCTTTGTGTGAGAGGAGTGCCCAAAGGGATGGGGCATTATGAAATGTTTTCAACCTGTACTACAGGCTCCCTTGAGGAGGAGAAGTGACCTTCCTAAGCTTGTTAATCTCTGAAATGACTCCTTTCAGCACAGCTGTTCTCAAACATCTGCTCTTCCTACAGGTGGGGTTTGAATGTCTTTGACCTTCTCTGACTGCAAGTGCTCTGCTGTGCATGCTGCAGATGATGCTCCAGTTGATGTTAGTGTGTAAGGTGTTAACACCCCGTGTACAAATACTACTTTGTGTGCTTTAGAGTTAAGAAACTGTAGCTGGAGGGGCTGGTGTGTGCCACTGTACAGACAGAGGACGGAGGGGAGGGGAAAGGATGGCTGCAGGCAGGCACTGATGGACAGTGACAGTGTGAGCAGCAATCAGGACTCAACCTGCTCCTGGTGTCCTCCTGGCTTGTGGGGAGGGGTTTAGTCTTGCTGGACTTGTACCTGCCTGCTGAAGCTTGCAAAGACAGGCCCAAGAGAGAGGAAAAACCTGGTCGCTGTTGTGTCTGGGAGTTGGGAATGATGGTATCTACCAACACCTTCATATCTCTCAGTGTCTCTAATGTCCCATCCTTTCCAGGTGAAGAACTGATCTATGTGCAGAGATGCTTCCCAGGAAGGAGCAGTTTGTTCCTGGCTGCTTTTGCAGGAAGGAGCAGTAACTTCCTTGCAGGGTCCCCTGCAGCACTGAGCCCTGGTTGAAGGCCCAGGGGCCGTGCCAAGCGCCCAGCGCTCCCTTTCACTCCTCGCTGCTGGGTGTTTTTTTTCCCCTCATAATCACTTCTGCTTGGGAAGAATTTAGGTCTTGGAAAAGCATTCAAAGCCCTTTTTTGTGCGAAGGGCAAGACAAAACCTCCCAAAGCTCAGGGAGGATTTTGGTGGTGAAAGCCTGCTCTGTTCCTGGGGTGGGCTCATTGGTGGGGGCAGTGTCGGGTGCAGGGCTCCCCCCCCAGTGGGCTCAGGACCCCATAAATACCCAGCACACAGCTCTGGCCGAGGGCTTGGCTGCCAGAGTCTTGGGTCCTTCATCAGGGAGAAGATGTACAGCCAGTGAGTATTTCTGGGGGCTGTCATGGCACAGAGGTGTTTGGGGGGGTGGCTGTGAGCCTGGGGATCAGCACAGGTTGGGGGGGAGATGCATGTGTGGGTGTCTGTGCTGGTCCACCCTGTGCCAGGATTCTGGATGGGGGGACAGGCTCAGCTCCAGGTACCAGAGGATGTTCTGTACTTTGGAGGGGAA